TTAAAAAAAGTCTGGCGCCAGGGAGTGAACCCACAACCTTCTGATCCTAGGCGAGCGTCTAGCCGCTTCCCCACAGCAAGTCCCTGGGAGCTTACAGCCGATGAACAAAGAAGAAGCAGAAGACAATTAGCAGGATAAACATGATTGTACAGGTTGGTGGACATAGGGATATCACCTGCTTCTGCCAGACACAAACTCGCCACTAAGGGCACAAGATATTTAATTAACACATAACAGGCATGATCAGTCAGTTTGCACTTGTGGAGCTACTGAGGAGGAGATCAGAGCACCTATGGATCTGTCTATGATGTTCTGATGATGGTCCTCACCACGGCTTTTTTTGGGCCTTGTAAAACAGTATCTGCATTTTTAATTTTGTTTATCTGTAATAGACACTTTGTGGTGAGTACTGGCACATTTTCACACTTTGTGGTGAGTACTGGCACATTTTCACACTTTGTGGTGAGTACTGGCACCTTTTCAAACACTATGTGGTGAGTACTGGCACATTTTAAAACTTTGGGGTGAGTACTGGCACCTTTTCAAACTTTGTGGTGAGTACTGGCACCTTTTCAAACCTTGTGGTGAGTACTGGCACCTTTTCAAACTTTGTGGTGAGTACTGGCACCTTTTCAAACACTTTGTGGTGAGTACTGGCACCTTTTCAAACATCTTGTGGTGAGTACTGGCATCTTTTCAAATGTTGTGGTGAGTACTGGCACCTTTTCAAACACCTTGTGGTGAGTACTGGCACCTTTTCAAACACCTAGTGCTGAGTACTGGCACCTTTTCAAACACCTTGTGCTGAGTAATAGCACCTTTTCAAACACCTTGTGGTGAGTTCTAGCACCTTTTCAAACACTATGTGGTGAGTACTGGCACCTTTTCAAACACCTTGTGCTGAGAACTAGCACCTTTTCAAACACCATGTGGTGAGTACTGGCACCTTTTCAAACACTCTGTTTTGAGTATCGGAACAAAATTTTCTAGAAAAAGCCCTTGTCCTCACTAAACCACTTCTTTAGCAGGGTGCAGAAGTGCACTGGGACTAGCTCCCATACTGGACAAGACATGCATGTAAACAGATTTCATCCTAGTTATGAGTTCCTTACTGGAGGCCTGGCCAATGTAGAGAGGATTACCGGTACCATCAGTTTTGGAACTCTGCGCTGGCTGCTGAAGATGAGGACGGAGCATGCATGGAAATGCCCTGAGTGCTGTGATGTCAATTCTTGACTCAACTCAACTCAACATAGAGGACTGACATTTCCTTCAAAGTTGGTATGCATCAGTCAGAAAGGTGAGGGACCACTTCTGCTTGTAGCATTGGTAGTTATGTCTAACCACAACCTTCTGTCTTGTGTGCTTTCAGTCAACTCTGACAGATGATCTTCTTTGCCATGATCTTAAACTGTCCAGCATCTTCTCTCTCGGTCTCCCTCTGTCTTTCTCCCCCTTCAGCTTTCCCACTGTCATGATATACTCCAGTTTTTCTCCTGACATGACCAAAGAATGTTGATGTAGGAATACTAGACTGTACACAGTATGTGGAACATTAATGTGCATAGATTGACATACTGACAAGAGATCAAAGTCCAGATACAGACAACTGATTGGACTTTCTCCGGGATTTCAAAGCTGGTGAAAACAAAAGAACAAGAAGTAGTTCCTTAGCTCCTTAAAATGTTGTCACAGCTTTTCCGCCATTTTTCCCAACCATCATTTATCACTGAAAATGCTGAAATGTTCACCAGTTATAGAATGTCTTAGACATTCTATCACTGGTGAACATTTCAGCATTAAAAGTTTTTTTTCTTATTCACTATGTTTCTTTCTAATGTTCTCTTTGCTTAATTTCCATCAATATATCTTACCGGCTTCCCCACACTGTTGGGACTCTTTTGCACCAGAAACCATTAAAAAAAAATTGGCACAGAACCTGCACCTCCCTCTCCCCCCAAATCCTCTTAAAAAAACATTTACACACGTCACTAATACCACACACAAAAAAGTCCCCGCAGTGTGCCTGTCAAACAGGACCACAAACACCTGAAGCACATTCTGCAGACCTGCCCATTCTACCTACAACTTCAAAACCTGGCCTTAAGAGCAAAGTGTGCAGAGCAAACTATGGGGAACCATGCAGGACCTGCTGCTGACATGCGAGTTGAGGCAACCCACCTGATGGTCTAATCTGAGCATTTGAAACCAAATGCAAAGAAGAAAAACCAGACAACAGCCAATATATCCTGTAAAATAATGCAACTAGCTGAACTTCCCATGTTACATTTCACTAGTGCTTTCTTCCTGGCGGTATGCAACAGTATACAATACCGGCACCTTTTTAGGCATAGTTTTTCAGTGCTGAGGTAATAGACACTGTGGTGAGTACTGATAATTTATTTTTATGTTTTGGACACTTTGTGGCGAGTACTGGAACTTTTTTCTCAGAAAATAAAAAGTCCTGCATGTAACTATCTATATTAAACAGAACAGCCAGATTTTAAACATATTTATGAAATTATTTATTTAAGAAACAATACAAATTACAAAATCAATTTCAATATCATAGCAGAAGTAGAGCAGTAAACACAATCAAAATGACATCACTTGAATGTTATAAATTGAATTTAGGATAGTCTTTCAGTATGTTTGAATTATACAACCTGTGCTAGCTCTATAGTGTCAAGCCCTCTCTTTTCTTCTGCATCTTCGTGTTCACCGGCTGTAAACTCCTTCAGAAAGTTCTGGTTGTTCATCCACTTCTCGACTTTAGTCCTGCTCCAGAACTTGAGTTTTGCGTGCACATCCATTTTTATACAATCAGACAGTTGCTGGTAACATCAGAATTTTAACTCTTTGCTTGCTGCTGAAGATAAGGACGGAGCACTTATGAAGGTGTCCTGAGGGCTGTGATGCTGATTTTTAATTCAGCATTGAACATATCCTTTTTACAGATCTGGCTCATTTGTATGCACACTTTTGGCTCCTTGCCTCTTAGGCAGATGCACTCTGACTTTGATAGGAAACCTCTAATTAGTTGACTCTTTTGACATTCTATACAGGGAATATGACTAAAGGTAACTTTTCCAAATAGTGAACAGATAATCTCCAATGCACATCATATCTTGAGTGTTTGGATCCCCTACTTATATGACAATATATACCAGGCACTCAGACACAAATGAACTGCCCATGTGCCCCCATCTCCATTTGTCCCTCATAAGGGAAGCAAAGAACAATAATATAACCTAGCATACATGTCATAAGAAGCACTAAGGAAGACTGGACTGAGATTTTTCTTTCTTCTTCTTTAAAATGTTCACCGGCTGTAAACTCTGGAGGAAAGTTTTGGTTGTTCGTTCACTCCTAGATTTTGGTCTTGATCAAGAAATAAATTTTTCATACACACATGTTTTACAGATCTGGCTTATTAGTATGCAGACTGTTAATTCCTTTCCTCTCAAACTAAGCACTTCAACTTTGAAGGAAACACCCCTAATTAGTTGCCTCTTATGACATGTTTGCTGGAGGGGAAAGAGCAATAGATCTATTCTTTGTTTGCTAAAACAGGGCCCTGGAACCCGCACAGATGGGCATGAGATTGACTAGGTCATCATCTTGCAGAAGACTAGTTTTAAAATCCAACCAATCATGATCTTGCTTACAAATAATCTAGCATGTGCTAATTGAGGGTCTCTGTTCCTTTGGAAGATCGTTCTCCTACTTCTTCTTCATGATCACAGGTGGGAAGTCCTGGTTGTTTGCCCATCATTTAAGGGGTCTATGTTCCTTTGGAAGATTGTTCTCCTTCTTCTTTATGTTCACAGGTGGAAAGTCCTGGTTGTTTGCCCATCTTTTAAGGGGTCTATGTTCCTTTGGAAGATTGTTGTTCTTCTTCTTCATAGGTGGAACTCATGCGGAAAGTCCTGGTTTGCATAATTCTGGACTTTTCATCTTGTTCCAAAACTTTACTACACATGCTGATTGTTGGCTCTTTGCCTCTCAGGCAGATGCACCCAATCTGGAAAGAAATAGTAACTCTATCTATGCTGGCCAGGTCTCCATTGAGGCAGATGCACCTGATCTGGAAAGAAATTGTAATTCTATCTACGCTGGCCAGGTCCCAGTTGGAAACATGTATCTAGGATGACCGCTGACCAAGTATGAGCCATGTCATAGTTCACCAGTACATGTAGTTCAGCACTGCTGCTATCCTAGATTTTGGCAGATGAAAGGCAGAGGAAGAAGAAGATAAAGATGACGATAATGAGGGCAATAGAGAAGACAATGAAGAAGAAACAAACGAAGAAGAGTATAAAACAAAAATCAAGGAAAACAAATCCAGTTTGTCCCATAAGTTTGCAAACACAGGAAAAATAAACTTTGCTTCCTAAAAACCATTTTTATTTATATAATATGTTCCATGTGATAATAAGTAAAGGACCATTTTCCATGCCTTTCAGGTGTATTGGGAATATAGGGCTAGACCTATATTTTATAGACTAACGGCACAGGATGGGTGATGTGGTCAGCATCACGCCGGTCGACCTTTACTTCCCACGACTGTATCCGATACCCACTCAAGGCTGGGTCGACCTGGGAGCCAAGGTCATTGTTTTTTTTGAGCAAAAAAAACCTGGCGATCACCAGGGAGCAAACCCAACGACCTTCTCCATCTGCAGGTGAGTGTAAAAATAAAAAAAAACGTATCCACGGGAGACTCCCTCCATGTGACAATGATTGTAAAAAAAAAAAAAACATTGTGATGTGTATCCTCCAGTCCAGAACTGACATATATGGAACAAGCACACTGCTGATAGAGACGTCTGGGGTTATGCTTGTAAGATGTGTATCCTCCAGTCCAGAAGAATATATACAAGCACAGGTGGGGTTATGCTTGTAATTGTGTTGGTGATATGTTTATTTTTCTTATGTATTGAAACTTATGAGATACCTTGTTGAAAAAAAAAAAAAAAAAAACTTGTTATTATACAAGTTTACTCTGAAGGTGTGGGAGGCGGCGCTGGTGCTGTCTGAACTGCCCCGATTCTGTACATAGCTTCCAACTGACGAGGGCGCTGTAACGGGTGTGCTAACAGCTTGGCACTACTGTTTAAGACTGGGGTGTATTTCGACTGCTCAAAAATGTAAGACATGCCATTGTGGTCTAGATCACAGAGGGTGTGGAAAATTTCCTGTAGATACAGTAGATAGAAAAATGTACTTTAATGTAATGACGATAATGTTAATTTTACAATACACATACTGTACTGAAATATGTTTTTCTGCTGCTTTGTTTGGCACGTTGTGTTGTGGTTTACAGCTAGGCTCTGATATCTGGCTCTTTCATCTAAACACATCTCATTTCTGCAAACTCCTAATTAATCGCCTTGAACGGCATGCATTTTAAAAGACCAGAGGGTCCATTAATCTTCTCTCCTTCTCCTCCTCGAAATGAGCCACTGATGCCCACACTGGGTAAAATATATGTACCTAAATATCTCATCAGATGTATACTATAGAAATTACATCAACATATTCTGAAGCATCAAAAATGTCACACCTGTATGCTGGCTCAAAAGTCTTGAGTTTGAATCTGCACCGGGTGGATAAAAAAAAAAATATATGGCTTTGGCTTTCAGGTTGACCCAGCCTAAAATGGGTAGGAAGAAATGTTCTGGGAAGTAAAGGTGGACAGTGATGTAGACCACATCAATCACAGAGTGCTGATTGGTCTATAAAAATATGAATCTAGCTTCACATTTCTCCAATGTGAACTGCAACTGGGTCACCCACTGGCTAGCTGGTTGATGACTTTGTCACCAATCAGGATAGTATTTGGGTCCGTCCTCTTCGATCACATCAACACTGCACGAGTCCTTTTCATCTTTTCATGGCTCTTGGTGGTGTGACCTGCTAAGCCATTTTTTTGGGGGTGCAAATAACCTAGTCACAATTATAACTTAAAGCTCCCCCTTCGGGGTTGCTAGTTGAACTAAGTCAATTTTTTTAAGCAAAGCGTTGGATCAAATCATATTCCTAATGCACAATAGGGTCCCCATACATTTTTGTTGTTGAAAATCAAAAGTACTGGAGTTATTGTTTTTCTGGAGTTAATAAAGCAGGCTAAGACAGGGATCAGGATGCCCAAGCTTTGTGCTATGGAGAGGAGGAACTTCATTCCTGGCCTTAACTTCTCTCAGGACTGGCTGATGATTCATGAATGATTCATGACTAAAGGTAAAGGTCAAGTCGGGAGATGTGAACCAGCGTCATTGCACATGGTTATAAACCATAAGTGCTCTGCCACCAGTACGGACAGCTGATAAGAATTGTCCACCTGTGTCGCCGTTCGCACGAAACTGTAGCTACAGCGACGTTCCTCCATTTACCCCAGAGTATCACTCTGGTACCCATTTCCTAGAGGCTGGGTGAACCCCGGGAACTGCCCGGTTTTGAACATCGACCGTGGCTGCAGCGAGTCGCAGCTGGATTTGAAAGCCAGCTTCTTATTGACTGAGCTAACGCGGCTAAACCCGCCCAAGTGATGTGATTGTATATACAGATGGCTCTGTGCTGAGGGGCAGACGAAGTGCATGGGGGTTCATAGTGAAGGCGAATGGACTTCACTTGGTGCAACAAAGCCTGGCATATGATATCACAACGTCTAGTTTGAGAATGGAGGTGGAGGCAGTCACTGCTGCCTTTGAGAATCAGCTGTACACACATATCGCCATTGTAACTGACTCACAGAGCATGCTGAGAAAGGTGGAGACAGGCAAGCTCCGTGCAGAGTGGCAAGCATCACGTTAGAGGTCCCAGGTATTTGGCATCCTTTGAATATTTTTTCCAGGGATGTCCCGACTGCTGTGATGTCGTTTCTTAATTCAACAGGAACTGGCTGAGAACCTCCCCGTGTGGGTTCTGCGACCCCACTGTGGGGGAAACAAGAATGACCTAAGAGTGACCTACTACCTTCCCAACAAGCATGTTGTAGGAGTCGACTAATTTGGGGCATCTGCCTGAGAGGCAAGGAACCAATGGTCTGCTTACAAATAAGTCAGATCTGTAAAATGGATGTGCGGGTAACACTCAGGTTCTGGAAAAAGACTTATGTCCAGAAGTGGACAAACAACCAGAACTTTCTGCCAGTTTACAGCCAGTGAAACCGAAGAGGAACAAGAAGGAGAGCTAAGATTCCCATGCCTCCAATAACACACTATCACATGGAAAGACACAAAGGTACCAACAACATGGAGAAAGTTGCACCAGACGGCAAAGGAAAGGAAAACTTGGCACGAGCTGGTTGAGTACCTATGCTCTGTTGAGGTATTCAGGGCAGAAAAATAAGAAGAAGAAGGAGGAGGAAGATGAAGAGGAGAAGGAGGATGAAGAGAAGAAGGAGGATGAAGAGTAGGAGGAGGATGAAGAAGAAGAAGAAGAAGAAGAGAGACTGTTACCTCACACTTGTTATTCTCTGAAGGCGGGTCATGTATATACAGAACATCAGTGAAAAAGTATGGCGATGACTCCAACTCACGCTGTGCCTGAAATTATGCAGAAGGGCATCACATGCAACATAATCCATTTATAAATAAAATCAATGTTAATTCGCACTCGGGCACTTAACAGTGATCAACCTTACTCAGCAGATACATCAGGGTATGTGTATAGTTTTTATTTCATGCATACGGCCATGTCTGTGCAGTTCTTTATTGCAGTTTCTCTTTCTGTACACCCCAAGACTCCCAATGCTAACAGTATTCTTATATTTAGTGTTATATGTGCTAGACTGGGGAGGCGCCGCGGTGTAGCGGCTAGATGCTCGCCTGCAGAGCGGAAGGTCTTGGGTCTGAGTTCTGACTTTTTTCCTCACAAAATGACCTTGGCTCCTAGGTCGATCCAACCTTGAGTCAGTACCAGGTGCAGTCCTGGGAAGTAAAGGCGGCCGGTGTGATTATGACCACATCACCCACCAAGTACCGATTTGTTTATAAAATTCAGGTCTAGCCCTATATGCCCAATTCGCCTAAAGGTGTGGAAAAGGACCCTTTACTTTTCTTTAGTGCTATATTAATTAATTCATTCATTCATTCATCAATTCATTGTGAGTGAGGACCCTTCACAATACTTGACAATGATATGCCAGGGTTTGATTTTTGTGGCAGGTTGTTCAGTCAAAACTGTTCTCCCCGCTAGGTTGCCCTATGAAGAAGACTGAGGCCTCATAACATCATATCCCCAAAGACAGCGGTGAATGAACAATCTGAACTCAACCTCCGTTGTGGAGACGGCACACAATTTAATTTTCATTTATTTACTAATTAAAAATAACTACCAATAGTTTAATAATACCGTTTACTGTTTATCTGGAGAGTCTAGGATCAGTCTTAGCCAAGGTTTCAGCTTCACTGCAATCAGGTTTCCCTATACTTGCTCCGTTCCTGTGCCAGTGAAAATCAAATGAAATGTCCCTCCACTGTCACATTTGAAAAATTGGTAAACAAACAATTAGTCCCAAAACAATCCAGAAATATGCGCACGCAGTAAATGCATATTTCAGTTGCTCGAGGCACCAAAGCCAACAATCGTTACTAGAAATGCAGTTTGTCGATGGAAGTAGTCGGACATGATAAGCTGGTCACTGTACACATGTACAATTATTACATAAGGTATTTCACCACCTCACACGTAAACCGGCTATCGGCCATATTGAACACAGTCTGGAATAAATATCTAGTTAGTAAAAATTATGTATAAGAAGCGGGAGCTATCAATTCAACAGTTCAGTTTTACCAGAATAAAGAGAAGAGACTGTCACAATAAGGTGGGAAACCAAGGATTAGGAACATCTGGAGTACAGGTGTTTGCGCCAGTGATAAATCAAGCAGTCACTGAGGGAGAGCGGACAGAGCAAATGATAAAGAAACAAAGGATTAAGAATTGGGCACGCAGGCTCGTCTAACATTCTGCATTTCCACTTCAATCAGACATAAAAAAGGCTTAATATAAATCAAAGGATAGGGAACTTTCTTTGTGATTCATCTGCAAAAGGACAAAAGAGGAGCAATAAATAAGGGGGCACCTCTTACTCACATTGCGAGATTGTGAGCTATAGAAGTAATATAGAGTAAAGGACCCTTTTCCGCACCTTCGGGGGTAAATGGCTGAACATATACTTTAGGAACCAATCAACACTCGGTGGGTGATGTGGTCAACATCCCGCCGGCAGCCTTTACTTCCCAGGAATGTATCTGGTACCCATTTAAGGCTGGGTCAACCTGGCAGCAAAGGATATTTATTTTTCTTTAAAAGTCTGGCACCAACCAGATTTGAACCCATGACCTTCAGGTCTGCAAGCGAGCATCTATCCGTGTAGCACGGCGGCTTTCATAGAAGCAATGTGGTTAATTAACTACCTAGATGATGTATTGTTTAAATAAAAAATGATGGCAATCCCATGTGGGTTCCAGGACCCAAATGTGGAAATAAAAAGATTAGAACAACTGCCTCCCTACAAGCCTCTCATAGAAGGCGATCAACTCTTTGGTGTTTCTTTGACATCAGAGTACATTCGCCTGAGAGGCCAGGAACCAAACGTTTGCATGCCATGTAAAATACAGAAGGGCACTAACATTCAAGTTCTAGAACAAGGCCATAGTCCAGAAATGGACGGACAACTAGAACATTCTATCTGGGTGTACAGCCAATTAATGTTATGAAGAAGAAGAAAAATAAGAAAAAATGTTGGCAAAGCTCTATCTCTCTTGCACAAAGACAGTGGTAGCAATGTGGCTAAGAGATGTGCTATTTAAATTTAAAAAAAAAATAAAAAAAAAATACCCCCATGTGGGTTCCGGGGCCCCATTGTGGGGAAAACAAGAATAGACCCACTGCCTCCCCAAAAGCATGTCGTAAGAGGTCGACTAATTGGGGAGCTTCCTTTGGAGTAGGAGTGCATCTGCCAGAAAGGCAAGGAGCCAACAGTCTGTATTCAAGAGAATGAGATCTGTAAAACTGATGCACACGCAACACTCAGGTTCTGGAGCAGGACTACAGTTCATTAGTGGACGAGCAACCAGAACTTTCCGCCAGAGTGTACAGCTGGTGAACGTGAAGAAGAATTTAAAAAAAAAAAAAAAATCACAAACGACTAGTCTAATGGAACCCACCTTTGTGCTGGTAACAACAGGCACACAGTTGGACCGGCCGAATACCAAGATCACTCTGACTACATATGGAGGGGAAATCACACGGGGATCTCCATCAACAACAGGCAATTCAATGTTTTCTTTTCTGAGGAAACAGTTGTAACTTATTCAAAAACCTATGTATGTGTGAGACCAGGAAATGGGAGATAGAGAGGAAATGAGACCTAAAAAACACACAGACAATTAAAGAAAAATATTATATATATATATATCTTTGTGTGTGTGTGTTTGCGCGCGTGCGTGCGTGCAATGAGCGCACGCGAGAGAGAAAGATAGAGAGAGAGACATTATACTGTGTTCTTTCTCTGTCGAATACTAAATGTAAAGTACTGCAGTGCAATCATAAAAAGATGTGTTTTACTCTCAAACTAACTGCAAAGCCAAGAACCTCTATTATATATTGGTACATTCGGTGGATTTTGTTTTCTAACTGTCCATAACAGCTACAAACTTCTTCTTCTTGCCATATTCCCTGAAAAAAAAATGTAGTGTATTGTGTTTACAGTGAAGACTTTTTGGTTAAAAACAACTGCCTGGACTTTTCTGTATGTTTGCCTTGCCTCTTTGATACCTACTTTCTTGATCAAACTGCAATGATGCGGCCTGTTTTCAAGGGCACAACTTGCAGGCAGAATAAGATCTTGGTCAGCTTTTGGTTACAGTCAGGATGAGGGATTGTAACAACATTCATGTTTCCTGCAGTTTTTCAGGCAGTCAAATCTCTTATGCTATTTCTAAAAAAAATGGCAACGATCTGAGAAAAATGATGCTGGAGGAGCGATGAGGGGATCTAACCTACAGCTCAACTCTCAAGGGAAAAGCGAATCAGATTTTACAATCAGATCGTTGTTACTGGTGCCCCATCAGAAGTGAAGCTCTGCACTTGTTGCTGACTGGGGGACATGGTTCTTATGCTGTGATGTCGATTCTTAATTCAACATTTCTTCTTCTTAACGTTTGGTTTCATAAGCTCAGGTCAGATCGTCAAGCAGGCTGCTTCTATGAATACGCATGTCAGTTGCAGGTCCCTCATGGTTCCACATAACTTGTTCTGCACACTTTGCTCTTGAGGCCAAATTTGCATTTGTAGAGAAAAAAATGTGTAAAAAAAATGTCCTTACCCACACAGGAGCAGGCTACACCCTGTTGGTGTAGCTGTTACAGGGTGCCCTAATTATAACCAGTATATCTGGGATCTGCTCATTGGTCTGCCATCCAGTTTAGGATTCTTTAATTCCAAGATGCTATGGTAAACCTTTTTAGATAACATTGGTGCCCCTGAGACTTGGGATTCAACCACAGATGATTCATCAACTCCGCAGACAGATTGGCTGGTGCCTGATACAACAAAATAAACAGAATAAGAACACAGACCTAATCTGCGATTCTAATAACCACGTAAGATGGCGAACCATCAACATCAAATTACTCCAGATATTCCCTTGAGCACATCATCCCCATCTTCACCAGTCGGCACAGTTTCATAGCACTAGTAGCAGTCTTTGTACATGTTTGTCTTGCCTTTCCCATGAGTGCTGAATATTGGCCAGCATCCCTGGTCACTCCCCCTGGCCCAATTCTCTTCAGTCCCTGATGACCTACTAATGCCTCTGCACTGCTCGCTCACTTCCAAGGGGCCTTGATAAACATCTAACTTGTCATGCACATTTTTTTCAGCATAACACATGATGATCATGATTCCATACACTCATTACTGATATAGCTTAAAAAAAAAAAAAAGAACCAAAAAAGCTGATAGCTGGGAAGAATACATAAATGAAAACTGAAGCCGTACACTGTTTCAAACAAGTGGGACAGGTTCAAAGGTCCCGACATCTGTGTTTCTATTTCAATCTCATCTAAAGTATTGAGAATATCTTGGGCTCTTGGAGTGAAAGACTGAATCTGTTGGTAATGTAAGTAAAAAAAAAAAAAATTATTACAATTAGTTTTTTTAAAACAAAAAACATCAACAGTATATACTGGAAACATTGTATAATACTGTAAACATTGCTTTTAAAATAATTCAAAGTTTTTCCTACTCATCATCCTTATATGCCATACCAACAAGTGTGTGGTGGGTTAATAGTTCATCATCTCACACTGTCACCAAATCACAGAAAAATGTCTAGCTAGTGTGGGTTCTGGAGCCCTATTTCATAGAAAAAAGAATATATACACTACCCCCCCCCCCCCACACACATCCCTCTGCTCTGTTGCTGTGCCAAAGAAAACCACACAGAATGTCCATCACTGTCCCATGCTGACAAATTGACACTGCAGCAAAGCCAATAACACACATACATTAAATGAGGCAGCCATTAGAAGTGTCAACACAAACAGTTCAGTACTAGAAATGCAGTTCAATGTGGATGGCAATAGCAGTTACAACAGATCAGTAGTCACACCTAATATATGTGATAACCTATCACTTGACACATATATAGCATTATTTGCTATGGGATTATCTTTGCATATTACCTTTAAACAATATAATAGAAATCTTATGCTTTGATTGTGGTAGACTTTTTCTTAACACATGCTGGTCCTGCTAGTAACACTTGCTATCAATAGTGATCTTGGTTCTGAAATCTTATGATCCCTTTTAATCAGGTATATGGGAAGGTACAGACTTGCTATCATCATGGGCTGAGTCATATGCATTCCCATAGCACAATATAACACTATACTCTATAAAAACGGAAAGGTGCCAGTAATCTCAACAACAGTTATCTACTAGCCTCTTCCTGCTGACTGGCCACCCAGAACAAAGTAAAATAAAAGGACCCTGGACAGACATCACACCGGCCACCTTTACTTCCCAGGACTGTACCTTATATAAGTTTAAGACTGGGATTTGATATCCGGTCAAAATGGATGATAGGAAATGGTCACTGTTGTGGTGGCAAAGTTTTGCTTCTGGCAGACGGTGGCCGTTGCATTTTCCGCCATTTGTAGACTGAAAGGATATAGTCTTGTCATCCAGCTAATGAGCTGAGTGCATGGTGTGACACTGTGAGCTGCATATTTTATTTGGAATGTTTATCAACTGTGACCAATGTGGTGTTGTGAACTGCCGATTCAGAGAACGGCCAGTGTCCTGTTGCCATAGGTGGTGGTGCCTTATGTGATTGAAACTGATCGTGTGTGCAACTGCTAATCTGTAACTGCTGCTTCCATCAATGATGAACTGCATTTCTAATGTCGGACTGTTTTTGTTAGCACTTATGCTTTTAATGCGTGTGTATGCGAGTGGATATGGGACAGTGATGGACATTCTGTGTATTTTTTGTCGGTAAAGAAGCAGAACAACTATAGGGCAACCTGACTGCTATCTGCTTCTTCTTCTTCGTTCACCGGCTGTTAATTCCGGCGGAAGGTCTCGGTTAATCGTCCGCTTGGACTTTTGGCTTTTACCTGGACCTGAGTTTTGTGTGTACAACCGTTTTGCTGTTCCCTGCCTCACGGGCAGATGTACTCCGACTTTGAGGGAAGACATCAGGCCTATTTCTAGAATGACTGTGGCCATTGTTTTGTGTGGGTCGAGACGTTGCCTGATTTGTGTGGTGTCCTCTTTGTCGCCTTCTCCGCAGGTGTTGCCCCCGGAGTACCCCTTTGGGGCAGCCTCTTGTGGAACAGTTAGCCCTCAAGGGAAGGCAGGGGTAGATCATGGGCATTCCCCACCATCCAAGGAGGCTCCCATGTATGCAGAGCCGGCACATGGCGCTCTGTTTCTGGGCTCACCCAAGGAATCGTCACATCCTGCACATGCCTGCTTAACCTCACAACATGCTTTATTAGGCTCACGCTCGACAAGGGCTTTTTGCCCTCCAATAAATCAGCGGGGACCAGCCCGAATCAGGGTTCTGGGACTGGACTTTTGTGACCACACAAATAGGTACATTCTTTTTCTTCGCACGTTAGATATCTTTGACGAGCCGTTAGCACGACAGAATTTAACATCCTGCATCAGGCATATCGTTATCTGTTTGGTCTTAACACTCGGGCGAGTGGGGTCTTTGGGTGTGGACATTTGGACTTTTCCCATTCAATACGATTTGTGATGGTCGGATTTTGAGCTTACCATTTAAGACTGGGTCCATCTTGCAGCCAAGGTCATTTAAAAAAAAAAAGGCTAACTCCATTTGGATTAGAACCCACGACCTTCAGATCCTAAGGTGAGCATTTAACTAAAACAATATAGGAGCTTCCCACTCAGGAGAAGAGAGTTGAAGAAAAAGGTAGGTAAAGAACCCTTTTTATGACAGTGGAACATCTGGGTTATGATGCTGGATTTCCATTTGTACAGACCAATCAGCACATGGTGGTGGCTGATGTGGTCGAGATCACGCTGGCTGCCTTCACTTCCCAGGACTTTTCCTAGTACCCATTTTAAGCTGTGTTGACCTGGGAGCCAAAGTCATTAAAAAAATGCAATATGATGCAGATCTGAACATAAAATATTTGGGTTGGCAGGTGAGCATTTAGCCACCACGCTACCATGGCTCCTTAGAACAAAAAAGCAGTAAAGGATTGATTTTTGAATTTACGTGTGAGAATTCTGGAACTTACCATTGTTGATTCTTCATGGAATATTAGAAATGAAAACTGATTTTTTGGATTGATCTGTGATTTGTGCATCACAAACATTTTGATAGCTCTCTTAGCTAGCTCCAGACCTGTGTATTTATCTCTGCAAGAAATATGGAAACAGTTTAAAAAAAAAGGAAATACAAATAATAATTTAAAAACAGTAGTCACAATTACCAGCCAAAGATTCCTGTTGATAAAGCTAACATGGTTGAAAAAAAAAAGAAGAAAGATGCTTTGCAAAAATCAGGACAAAGCATGGAAACTAGGAAATTATAGTTACATGATGACAACTGTTAATAAACTGCAAACATTTCTGCAAAACATGGTTACAAGATGACCAATACTTAAAAACTGCAAAAAGTAATGCAGAATAATGTAACATGACAACAATTGTTTGAATAAATAAATGAATGAATTAATGAATGAATGAAAGAATGAATAAATAAATGAATGAATGAAAGAATGAATGAATGAAAGAATGAATGAATGAATGAAAGAATGAATGAAAGAATGAATGAATGAAAGAATTAAAGAATGAATGAATAAATAAATAAAATAAATAAATAAATGAATGAAAGAATGAATGAATAAATGAATGAATAAATAAATGAAAGAATGAATGAATGAATGAATGAATGAATGAAAGAATGAAAGAAAGAATGAATGAATAAATGAATTAATGAATGAATAAATGAATGAAAGAATAAATAAATAAATGAATGAATGAATGAAAGAATGAATGAATAAATGAATGAATAAATCAATGAATGAATGAATGAATAAATAAATAAATGAATGAAAGAATGAATGAACGAATAAATGAATGAATAAATAAATAAAAGAATGAATGAATGAAAGAATAAATGAAAGAATGAATGAATAAATGAATGAATGAAAGAATGAATAAATGAATGAAAGAATGAATGAAAGAATGAATGAATAAATAAATGAATGAATGAATAAATAAATGAATGAAAGAATGAATGAATAAATAAATAAATGAATGAATGAATGAATGAATGAATAAATGAATGAAAGAATGAATGAACGAATAAATGAATGAATAAATAAATAAATGAATGAAAGAATGAATGAAAGAAAGAATGAATGAATAAATGAAAGAATGAATGTATGAATAAATAAATGAATGAAAGAATGAATGAATAAATAAATGAATGAATGAAAGAATGAATAAATAAATGAATGAAAGAATGAATGAATAAATAAATGAATGAATGAATGAATGAATCAAGTAATGACATCTCTGTACTTTAACCAACGAACAGCTGACACGCTAACAGTACCAGTTGCAACATGATTAAAGGTCCGCCTGTGCTTCCCCTTCAATGTGGAATATCTCCCAGAACCTTTAGACCCCCCCCTGTTGAATTAGTCTTTCAGTGCATGGATTCCCTATCTGATCTTTCACATCCAATCCCACAGAATAGTTTTATCATATAGTAGCTCACCGCCCAGAGGAGCAGCAGCAGCAGCTAATCTATCAGCCTACTCATTACCTCGCACACCTGAATCTCCTGGACAGAAAATCCATGATTTGCTCTTGATCTGGGTCTTATCAAGTGATGCAAGCCACTCTGCTCACAGGACACCAGTTTGAATTGTCTGAAGCATGCTCTGGGAGTCTGTTACAATTACAACATGCCAGGCTGTGCTGCTCTCAAACTATCGGATAGCTGCTGTTACCGCTTCCACCTCCATTCTCATACTGGATGTAGTGATGTTGTACACAAGGTTCTCTGTTTTCAGTCCATTCACTCAGTTACTTATGAACCGCAAAACATTAATGTAGAATATGGTAACATAACAATAATTACTTATAAACCACAAATATTTATGCAGTATATGGTAACATGACAACAATTACTTATAAACCGCAAACAATTATGCAGTGGTAACATGACAACAATTACTTATAAACCACAAACAATTATGCAGTATATGGTAACATGACAACAATTACTTATAAACCGCAAACAATTATGCAGTGGTAACATGACAACAATTACTTATAAACCACAAACAATTATGCAGCGGTAACATGACAAAAATTACTTATACACTGAAAATATTTATGCAAATATGGTAACATGACAACAATTACTTAGAAACCGAAAATATTTCTACAAATATGGTAACATGGCAACAATTAGGTATAAACCATAAACATTTATGCAGAAGATTACAACAAAGGCAACAGACTACCCACTGCATTTGTTATGGCTTGGGAAATGTAAAGGTCTCTTTCCTCTGCAAAAAGTTATAATTGTTTGTCCACTTCTAGACTTTGATGTCGCTTCAGGACTCAAGTTCTACATGCATATTCATTTCACAGATCTGGCCTATGTATTTAGACAATTGGTTTCTTGTTTCTCAGGTAAATAAACTCCGAATTTGAAGGAAACACCTCTAATTAGCTGCCTTTTCTGACATGTTTGTAAAAATGAACTTCAAGGACTTTAAAAAGTCTAACATACAAAATAAGCAAAGTACTGGTAACTAAACTCTCAGCCTGGCAGATTGCCAACTGCTGGCTTCTAAATACACTGCTGTGATGAATGAGAAGTTCAATATATGGAAGTGATGTTACACAGTCATGAGCAGGACGTGATGATTCCTTGGGTGAGCCCAGTACCAGAGCACCATGCACTGGCTCTGCACTGATGGAAGCCTCCTTGGATGGCAGGGAATGCTCATGTTTTGCCCCTGCCTTCTCTGGAGGACTGAACTGCAATATGTGGCATCTATGTGGGGCACCACATGTATCCTAAGAAACAAAGATAATCACATAACAATGAGACTCTAACATCCCACGAAACTAATCGTAAGGTAACTAACTGGTCAACGAATTCCTGCAGAAGTCAGATGTCTCGGCCAAAAAAACACAAATATTGCAGCCGTGCTAGAAATGGGAACAACGCAATTACACCTTCGGATAAACGGAGAAGTTCAAGGGGTCTAAATGCAGAAGAAGAAGTAGCTAACAGCATGGTTTATGGAACAGTTAGCAATTTATGGTGATTAATGGGTTAAATAAGTGTTTCTTAAACTTTTCTTAGTCGCAGCGCCAATTTTTCAATTATAATTTTTTCACCGCTCCCTAACCTAAGTAAAAATATGACTACTTGCATGTAAGGGATACAAAAATAAAAAAAAAACTCGTATATCTTTGAATATTTTGTGGTGCCCCTGTGAAGAGGTCACGGCTTCCCGGGACGCCGCCGGTTACAGTTTGGAAATCACTGGCTTAAATGGATAAATGGCCTAGCAAGCTGGCAGTGGATATGTCTATTGTTTGAAGAAACAGAAAAAAGTATAACTGGGCTGGAATGAGCTATGGTGGAAAGATAAGTTGGAAACTGAAAAACATAATGACCATAGATATGATAACGATGGACAAAAGAAATTTTAAAAGCCTCTAGGAACTCCTAAAAATGTAACATCCAAACAGGCTCGCTGTTTATACTTCACCTCGACATTGAGAGGTGCAGAAGGACACAGATAAGATAAATGGGTAAATTTTAATAATTTATTAATGTGTGCGCATATAATTACCCAGCTCTTGATCTGAATACTGAGGTGTCCATTTCTTCATTCAAGTCAAGACAAATAATCTGAAAGATAAAATACAATTTGTAAGATAATATGTATTCAGGTACTAAGGCTGTTACTGTAGATAAGAATGAACTAATTTCAGACTTTTAATAATAGAAAGGCCACACAACTAATAAATGGATCACAGACAACATATTGCACAGCTTGGTCAAAACAAAGGCAAAATTAACCTAACCAGTGTGGGTTCAGTGACCTCATTGTGGGAGCCTCTGTCTCCCAAACAAGCATGCTTTAAAAGTTGAGTAACTAGGGGTGTATCTGCCTGAAAGCTGAGGAGCTGATAGTCTGCACACACAAATAAGCCAGATCTGTAAAACCGATGTGCAAAAAAAAAAAAAAAAAAAAAAAAAATGTTCTGGAACTAGATTATAACCCAGAAGTGAACAACCAACCAGAACTTTTCACCACATTGCACAGCCAATGAGCACTAATAGGAAATGAAGAACCCAACTATAGTGGAGAGTATAATTTCCCAGATTTATTTGGGGCTCTGCCCCCTTTTTAATTAAAATGTTACACATCCATCCAGATGCACCCAGATATATATAATTTGAAACAGAACAAACACAAAGATGCACATAGAAACTTAACTAATCACTATGATTAGTTCGAATTTTCTTGTCACAACTTGTTCAATAAACTAAAGATAGAAGACAAAGATGATTGTAACTGTGGAAAGGGCAAAATGACAGCTTAACACTTGCTGCAAGAGTATCCAATATATGCAGAACAAAGAAAATTATTAAGATGTCAACAACCTCAAGTTAACTGCTGATTTCTTCAAAAATATCCACACTGACATCTGAAGGTATAAGAAGAATAAAACTGTCCAGGATTCTCTGAGCTGATAGTCCCGAGAGATGCAAAGCTCGTAAACCACGTAAAACTATAGTGGATGAAGAAGTCCACTGCAGTAAAAGTCTAACATGCAAAAGAAGCAAAGTACTCATTTTGTGGTGTAGGTAAATGAAATCCCAGGTCTGCAGGCTGCATACTGTTGGCTACAAAAGAGATAGCCCATGATGTGTGAGATGTTCAATATATGGAAGTGAGGTTAAACAGTCATGAGCAGGACGTGACGATTCCTTGGGTGAGCCCAGTACCAGAGCACCATGTATTGGCTCTGCATTTGTGGAAGCCTCCTTGGATGGCGGGGAATGCTCATGTTCTGCCCCTGCCTTCTCTTGAGGGTTGATCAGCATTATGTGGCTTCTCTGGACTAGCCTGACTGGGGCATCACCTGTAACCTGGGAAATGAAGAAGACCACACAACAATGAGACTGCCATGACCCCAGAAACCAACCGGGAAGGCTAACCCGGTCAAAAAATGCCAGCAGAAGTCGGATGTGTTGGCCAAAAGGTGCAAATATTGCAGCCACAGGACACAACGCAATTTCATCTTCGGATGAACGAAGAAGAAGTTTTCTTTTAGCGCTTCTACAATTCTTTGCTGAACCCCCCCCCTCCCCCAACTGGCTGCAATATGCACATTAGCCTACTAACCCTCTGAGATTGTTTTATTCAGTTACACATTCTTCCAGTGAAACTATGTTGGACTCTCCTGCAAATAACGGGCCTCAATTACTGAGAAAATTCTCTAACAGGGTCATATGTAAATTGCGGACTTCTTTCCAGCCAATATACCACGGCAAAAGTAGAATTAATTTCCGGCGATAACTTTGCAAAGCACATAAAATAGTCACGGAAATATCACAATGGCATCAGCTCTGATGCAAATTACGGATACTGTTCTACCAACAAACTGAAGAACAGATTTTTGGACACTATTTACAACTTTTGGGAACACCTCAGAATAATGGTCCCAAATTATCGAGGTCAAAAACATATACGAACAGGACCTCAATAGTATCTTCCGTTAGAGTTGAATCCATAACCCTTCATTTGTTTAGGTTTTGGATTATGGCTAACCCTAATTCAATAATATACATAAGCAGGCAGGTCTAACATCTACAGCTGAAGTTTATTGGCTCTTCTTTCAATACAGGCCGGTAGCTGGAAAGCCGCCGATCGGCTTAGTGGGAGTTCTCTCCCTTGGCTGCATTGCAAACACGGAGTGGAAAAGTCATGAATCAAATGACATACTTACCTATCATCATACGGTTGCGTGTACGGTTGCGTAGTCATCATACAGTGGCGTAGGGTTTGGGTTAGGGATAGGGTTAGCGGCGTTAGGGGTTGGGTTAGTTAGGGTTAGGGGTAGGGGTAGGGTTAGATGTGACAATTTTGACGTAGGAGTTCCAAATAATGGCCGACAATCTGATGCTTGTGGAAGTGGCGCCACTGGACTTCTCCCAAATATGACGGAAATAGCGCGCGGCTGGTGCCTAATCGGTGGCGACTTGTCCGTTTGAGTAGCATCCACAGTCCTTCAATTGTTTGGGTGTTTGTGACTTTGCGCGATTATGTGGAACTCCTGCGTGAAAATTGTCACATCTACCCCTAACCCGGACCTACCCCTAACCCTACCCCTAACCACGCAAATTTATCGGTCATTAAGTCATACAGATCTGCAGGAGTCACATCCATGGCAACTAATACCACTTTTATATACGGATATATTTACTTAAAAAAAAACCCAGATTTCCCCGAAGCGTCACATAAACACCCAGATCTGGGGGACACACCCAAGCATTGGCAGCCCTGTTGTCGACCTCACTGTCTTTTTTGATTCGTGACTTTTCTGCTCCGTGTTCGCAATGCAGCCAAGGGAGAGAACTCCCACTAAGCCGATCGGCGGCTTTCCAGCTACCGGCCTGTGAAAAGTGAAAGGAGAGCCAGTTTATTAATAGTATTTTCTGTTACAAGTTTTCAATATTTTTATCAGTTGACATGCTGAGGCCCTGTTAGGGTATTTTCTTAACCTCGATAATTTAGGACCGTTGTTTGGAGGAGAGCCCTATGTTGTAAATGTCAACAAACATACTAACTGGATTGAAAATGGCCCAGTAAAAATACTTAAAATAAATGTTTTAACTTTCACGTTTTATATACAATAAATAATCTTAACTCAGTAGTACGGCTTACAATTTTTTCTGGGCAGTTCACTCGGGGGCACTGTATACTTTGCGGGTCATGTCTGGACACCATCTCTGGATGTAAACAAGACATCTTGTTTCCCTCTTCAAGCACCGCCAATCTAGAGGTTTCATTATTATTCCCTAAGCTTTTCTGGCTACTACTATCACTCTGTTTACAAACAGAACTGGCTGCAGGGAAAATTGTGTCATCAGATGAATCAACTGAAACGATTGGGTCGTTTAGACAGTAACTAGCCAATCCTTCGGGCTCTGAGCTTGACTGAAAAATATCGTCGCTATGCTGGTAAATACTTCCACTATCTTTCATGTTACTATTGTTACTACTTGGGTTATTATAACTTGTGTCCATATCTGCTTCTGCCCGTGACGAGATATCTGTAAAATCATCCATTTTAGATCAGATGCTCAGAGGTAAAATGACCGATTGTTAGAAATTGAAGCCAAAATGTAAATTTTTAAAATAAACAAAACTAATTTAAAGCCATTACAAATTGTCTGTAGCAGACAAGATGTCCAGAGTTTTCTCCCATGGAATCCTCAGATCAGAAAGTTTAAATACTAGAATGCTGTAAGGCAACGACATATAGGTTATAGACCCATATAACTTAGCTTAAATTATGACTAAATCTTGTTTAACAAACTAAAAGCGTAATTTATAAGCACCAAACATTATTTTGAATAAGATTAACTTTGGGTTAGAGCTTAATGTTGTCAAGATTCCAAGATGTCGGCCGATTGACCCGTAAGGCGAAAACCAGGAGACCCCTTCTTTGATCCATTTATTTTCATTTCTTCGTTGCGAGTGTGAAGAAACATCAGATTGCACGACGAGGTGACTCTTCTGGTTACTCTAAGAGTCTTTTTGAATTATCTAACTCAGGAAAGCTTTAATATTACTTATATTTCGAGCTCTACTGTTAATGATCTTTACTACAGACTACAGTATTATTCTGAAGTCAATGATTGTCTCAATCTATCATAATCTATGGAAATTGATTAATTAATAAAATAATATTTATAACTGAAATGTATAGTCAGGTATATTAGATCAGATAATGATAACAGATAATGCTATAGAACTACGAGTTATACAGTGATTGACTAAAGTCATAATCAGGAGAGGAAAGATGTTATTATTATTATTTTCCTGTGCAAACAATAAATCATTAAATCTGTTTTTTTGTTTGTTTTCTGGTATCTCATCTGTTGTAAGTGTAATCTGGTAATCTGGTAATCCTAGTTTCAGCATCATAGCAAACGGGTCACCCCATTGTTGCTCCGCTCCTGTGCCAACGAAAAACACTCGTAGCTCACAGTGTCACACCATGCACTCAACTCAGAAGCTGGGTGACGAAACCATATCCTTCCAGTCTACAAATGGAGCAAAAAATGCAACGGCCACCGCCTGGCAGAACTGCCACGGCAAAAAAAAAAAAAATAAAAAAAAGTGGCCGTGCCTAGCGTCCACTGTGACTTGAAGCATTATGTGAGGGGTTAACAAATGGTCACCCCAGCAGTACCCTCACTATTAGCTGGGAAAGGGACTTAGGACATTACATCCACCAGCAGGCGTCGCCCCTACAACGACCTGACTGCCTTCGTTAACGACTGTTCACCCAACAGCCATGCAGTTCTTTGGCACGAAGGAGACACCTTGAACTTGGGTTTCGGAATGCCGACTTCCTACAAAATGTTATTTTGTGTTTTGTTATCACAATCGACGTCACTGCACATTGGGCATACCCATGCGTGCGCAGTCCTCCGAAGCAGCAGCCACTCCAAAGTACTTCTACTAATTGTCCCCATGAGAAGCTGGTTATATTGTCTCCTTTCTCGGCCTCGCAGACGGCAAAGACGTGCTTCACCATGCTTAACTCCCATGTCACGCAATCGTGTTAGTGTCAGGGATTCGATATTATCCACTAGCCCAGTACGTACAGCGTTAACGATATCTGCTCTGTCCATGCTTTTTCCCGCAATCATTAGTGCTGTGCTTGCCAGTTGGTCCGCTCGCTCATTTCCCTTTACGCCCGCATGACCCGGTGTGTAGATCCAGGTTACGGAAGTTAAGTGCGATTTCCGAATGCTTTCTATCCATTCAGAGCGCATACTGCCAGTTGCTATTTTCTGAAGCATATTCATTGAGTCTGAGACAATTACTGCTTGTGTGGCGGTTTGCTCGGATACCCATGCTAAAGCTCTAGAAGCAGCGGCTATTTCCATGGTCATGCTTGACGTGGTTGTCTGGTAAGCGCCGCTATCTTCATGTATTGTTTTCCCCCTTCTTTGCGCTGTAAGTGTTTGTCTATGCACTCTAGTATAGTAGTACACCAGTTAATACATTCTAACTGGTTGAGCAAAAGTTGCAAAAAGAAACATACCAACCTAGCTGTATTCCAGAGACTCAAAGAACCATTTTTTGAATTCCAATCCAAAAGGAACAAATTACGGTTCTCCTTAAAACTACGGCCACTTATTATGGAGTATGGCGGAGTTCAGTCCCCTGGCCGCATTGCAGTTACGGAGTGGAAAAGAGGGAAGACACAAATGACGTAATTACTGTGTGTTGGCGATAGACATCGTGAACCGGTGACGTTAGTACTGTGTGTTGGCGATAGATGCACTGCTGTCATAATGGGTTTGGGTTAGGGTTAGGGTATTGGTACTTCTTAAAACTCTGCCACTCCTAATCCTACCCCTAACCCAAACCCTAACCCTAACCCTATTATGACAGCAGTGCATCTATCGCCAACACACAGTAATTACGTAATTTGTTTCGTTCCCTCTTTTCCACTCCGTAATTGCAATGCGGCCAGGGGACTGAACTCCGGCGTACTTCATAATAAGTGGCCGTAGTTTTAAGGAGAACCAAAATTACATATACTCTGTTCTACTGTATAAAATAGTTCTATTTAGACTATTTGGGCACCCTACAAAAAAAAAAAAAAAATCCACACACACATACTACTGTCCTGTGATGGCAATCTACCAGTCAGCAAAACTGCTAGTATTACTACTACTGCTGCTGCTACTACTACTACTATACTATTACTGCTGCTGCTACTACTGCTAAATAACTACTGCTGCTGCTTTTACTATGCTACTATTACTACTAATACTGCTACTATTACTGCTGCTACTACTACTACTAAATTAACATTAAATGCAGTAAAGCAAACCAAGTATTGGGACAGCTAGCCCCCTCTTACAGCATAAGACAATCCCAATTAGCACAAAGAGACATCTTATTTAAAGCATATTTATTCCAACTCTGTGCTACCAGTGCCAGACATGGTCACTTACAACAAACCATAAAAGAAAATTAGTAACCATGGAAATGAGATGTCTGAGAAGGGCTGTAGGAGTGACCATAAGAGATAAGATCAGGAATGAGATCATAAGAGAAAAAGTCGGCACAGAACCAATTCTAAATTACATACAAAGACAGCAAGTGAAATCGTTTGCCCGCTTAGAGAGAATGCCTTGTGACACCATACCATACAAAGCATACATGGAAAGAGAAGAAGGTCATAGAGCAAGAGGTAGACCAATAACAAGATGGAAGGATAACATCAGAGAAGCTCTACAACAGCACGATGTGCCTATGGTCAAGGCGACCAGAAGAGTCAGAAACAGAACCTTATATCTCCCTCGACACCCACAGCGGTTAAAGAGGAAGTGATGAAGAAGAAGAAGACTACTACTACTTCTACTATGCTACTACTGCTGCTGCTACTACTAATCCTGCTGCTGCTGTTACTACTACATATTATTTTTGTTGTTGGCATGTTTAAAGACAACGCTGTATGCACAGTTGATTCCTTTTTTAAGTTAATGTCATGCTGTTTTTATTATTTGTATGTGTGTGCATTGGTTTGAACCGTACATTACAAGCTCTTCTGTTAGTCATTGCATATGTTGATTATCAGCTGATACCTGTTCATTTATCACTTACATGTTTCTTCTCATTGCTGTTGAATTTTCTTGTACTGTTTATTTCCTACCAGAAGGGTACAAAATAATAAGAAAGCCTCATATATTCCCTGGTTATAAATATTTTATCATTCCGATACATTTTTTTTTCAAAATAACTGTTAAACAGTCTTTTGTTATGTTATCACAGTCAATATTACTGCACTTAGGGCATTACCATGTGTGCTCAGTCCTCCGATGCAGCGGCCACGCCAAGGTACCTCTACTTATTGTACCACTGAGTTCCTTGTAGTGTTTTTTGTCTTTACCACAAAGACGGCATAGGCATGCTTCAACAAGCTTTACTCCCAGGTCAGGTAGTCATGTTACCATCAGAGATTCAGCATTATTTGCCAGTTAGTCTGTACAGCAATGATATCAGTTCTGTCCATGCTTTTTACCCATATGCATTGATGCATTATTTGCCAGCTGGCCGGCTTGTTTCTTACATTTTACTCCTGCATTCCCAGGTGTTATAGATCCAGAGGATGGTGGTTAATTACGATGTCTAAATGCTTTCTACCCATTCCAAGCATAAACTATCTGTTGCGATTTTCTAAAGCATGTTGATGGAATCTGAAATGATTGCTGCATATGTGGCTGCTTGTTCTGCTACACATATGAGTGCTGTGAAACAGTGGTTATCTCGATAAGGCTTGACATAGTTGCCTGGTTAAACAGCTTTTGTTTTGGCATATCAGTCACTACTGTTGAAAGCCCTGGCGGTACAGTGGATAGCGTGCTTCCCTGCTGGTAATGGATTTGAATTCGCACTCACTTAGGTTCTTGGGGCTCTGCTTTGGAAGATTAAGAATCGACCAGTTGTCCTCGAGCAAGCACGTCATAGTTAGTTAGTTAGTTAGTCTTTCCTCTTGTGTCGAGTGCGGCACATAGGGCAGAGGTCATGACTCTCCATGCATGGCGGTTCGTTGCAATCTGTTGTAGGTCTTGGATGTTTGAGTGGCCCATGAGCGAGCCTTCCCTGATGATAGTTCTACGTAGAGTTTCCCTTGGTCTTCCACAAGATCTTTTCCCCTGTGGTGTCCAAATGAGGGCTTGGAAGGAAGTCTTGATTTATCCATTCTAAGGGCGTGGCCGACATAGTTCCAGCGGCGTTTTCGTATAAAATTAGACACATACTCTTGCCTGGATTCTTGCCTTATTTGTGTATTGGTTCGGAAATCTGACCATTTGAAATTTAGTGTTCTTCTAAGGCATTTATTTTCAAAACTGTCTAATTTTGTGTCTAGAGTTTTCGTTGATTTCCAGCTCTCGCATCCATAGGTTAGTACTGGAATCACACAAGAATTGAAGATCTTGAGTTTTGTGTGTTTGCTAAGTGTCTTTGATTTCCAGATGTTGGACAGTTTATTGAAGGCACTAGATGCCAGTGCTATTCTAAATGGTATTTCTGGTGGG